TTTTAACCATTCTAGGGCGCGATTTGGTGGCGTTCAGTACATTGTTAGGCAGCCATCATCACCATCCATCTCCAGAACCTTGTCATCGTCCTGAACTGAAATTCTGTCCCCAGTAAACGCCGACTCCCTACTTCCCCTCCCCCGCCCCTTTCTGTCTCTGCAAATTTGCCTACTGTAGGAACCCCATATAAATAGAATCATATAAGATTTCTCCTTTTGCTTTTGGTTCATTTCACTTCGTGTAACGTCTTCAAGTTTCATCCTTGTCGTAGCAAGTGTCAGAATTTCCTTCCTTTTGAAGGCTGAATAATAGTCCACTATATGTAAATACGGCATTTTGATTATCCATTCATCCCTCGATGGACACTTGGATAGCTTCCACCATCTGGTTGTTGTGAAAAAGTGCTAGGAATATGGGTGTGTAAGTTTCTGGTCAAGTCCCTGTGTTCAGTTCTTCTGGGCGTCTCCTGAGAGGCGGGGCCGTGCCCTTGTATTCACAAACAATTATCGTTTGTGAGGTTCCTATGAGGACAGGGGCATCTCTGTTTAGGTCACTCACCCCTGTCTCCCTAGCACTGAGCACAGCGCCCCACACTGAATAAATACTGTTAAGTGAGCGAAAGTTTCCAATCTTAGCGACTGGGACATGATGTGGTGTCCTGGCAAACTCAGGTCTGGGCTAACCTTAGCTCCCGAGGAACAGATCTGGGGATCTCCCAAGGATTCACACATCTTCTAAGAACATTGATTTTATTTGGTTATACTGGGGAATAATAACAACATTAACTATTACTACGACAACAACACTTACTGAAATCTCGCTGTGCCAGGACTTGTACCAAACGCTTTCCCTAAATTATCTCTTTTCATCTCCAACATAATGCTGTGCAGTTCCACTCTTATCCCTATTTTACAGGTGAGGAAACCCAGGCACGGAGGGGCTAAAGTACCTGCCCGATACCTACAGTTAAGAAATGGCTGAAGGAAAGTTTTTAGCCAAAACTTTCTGATTCCAAAACTCACGCCCAGAAACATTCTCACTGCTGGGGCAGAAAAGCACTGCTTTTGTGTGTGTGTGTGTGTGTGTGTGTGTGTGTGTGTGCTTTGCTTTGTTTTGTTTTAAAGTTTAATTTATTTTGGGGCGCCTGGGTGGCTCAGTCGGTTAAATGTCTGACTTCAGCCTGGGGCCATGATCTCGTGGTTAATGGGTTCGAGCCCTGCATCAGGCTCTGTGCTGATAGCGCGGAGCCTGGAGGCTGCTTCGGATTCTGTTTCCATCACTCTGCCCCTCCCCTGCTCGCACTCTGTCTCTCTCTCTCTCAAATATAAAATAAAACAAAAATAAAAAAAAAAATAAAGTTTATTTTGAGAGAGAGGAAGACAGAGCATGAGCAGGGGAGGGGCAGAGAGACAGAATCCCAAGCAGGCTCCACACTGTCCGTGAAGAGCCTGAAGTGGGGATCAAACCCACCACCTGTGAGATCGTGACCTGAGCCAAAACCAAGATGCTTAACAGACGGAGCCACCCACGTACGCCTTGTTTTGTTTTTCATTTGTCTGTTTGTTTTAATTTTTTTAAATGTGTATTTATTTCTGAGAGAGACAGAGTGAGAGCGGGGGAGGGGCAGAGAGAGAGGGAGACAGAATCCAAAGTAGGCTCCAGGCTCTGAGCTGTCGGCACAGAGCCTGATGTGGGGCTCGAACTCACGAACTGAGAGATCATGACCTGAGGGGAAGTCGGGCACTTAACCAATTGAGCCATCCAGGCCCTTCTGTTTGTTTGTTTGTTTGTTTGTTTGTTTGTTTAAGTAGGCTTTACACCCAGCTCACATGCTAGCTAGACCTGAGCTGAGATCCAGTCGGATGCTTAACTGACTGAGCCACCCAGGTGCCCCAAGCATTGCTTTTTATATTAAAGCAAAATAGGAGATCTTACGGAGTAAAATTCAAAATTGGAATGTCTTTTAAAGATAAAGTACACAGAATACCAAAGCGGACTTCCTGCCTGCCTCAGTGCTCTGCTCCAAGTGCCTCTGAGCCGTGTAACCCCAGCTCCTTCTCTGAGGGCCCTGGGGAAGAAGGTTGCGGGCTCCGCCCTGGGGGGAAGCCCCTGAGGACCTCCCAGGGCCTCCTGCAGTTCCTACGAATCTTCTGGAAGATGTGGCCCTGCAGCGGGTGAGTGTCCTCGTGTTCCACGTTTTACACGGTAGCAGCAAATGAGAGTGTTTAGCCACAGTCCCCGTCCAGCCTCACCCGGAGCCTGGGAGGAGGGGAGGTGAAAGAAGGCACTTCTGTGAGTGTTCCTTGGGAGGAGGGGGATGAGAAAGGAGGGGAGAGGGCAGTGAGCCTCTCTCCTCCTGGACTGTGGGGAGGGGGCGGGAGACAAACACAAAGGAGTAAGGTTGCAAGGCGGCTGCCAAGACAGTGCGATGCTGAAGGCCACTGCTCAGTCGGTTGTTTGGAACTCCGGAGCTCATTTTCCCACAGAAACAAAGCTCGAGTGGAGCTCAAGGTTGGCTCCCCGCCTGGCCCAAAGGAGCCAGATTCAGCTAATAGCAACACAGCCTCAGAAGACCCTTCACACTCTCTTCCAGCGCCGGTGACCGGCAGGGGCTCTGGCGGGAGCCTGGAGACCACAGGCCCTTGGGGAAGCTCTGCCAAGGGCTCTGGCAGCCGTGGGAACTGGGGCACCGGGAGGGCAGTTCTTCAATAGGGGACAGTGCTGGGAAGCACGGTGTGTGTGTGTGTGCGCGCGCGCGTGTGTGTGTGTGTGTGTGTGTGTGTGTGTGTATGTGTGTGTGTTTACACATTTCTAAGCACAGGACATACCTAAACCATGGAACATGGAGCTGGTGACCTGGACTGGGTGGCCTTGGGCAGCGCCTGCTGGTCTCTGTGCCTCAGTTACTTTTCATCTGGAAAAAAAAAAAAAAAAAAAGGTAGAAGGTTTGGACTAGATTGGTGGTTTTCTAACTTTTTTCTTTCTTTTGTATTTAAGTTTATTTATTTTGAGAGAAAGAGAAAAGAAAAGAATACGCAGGGAAGGAGCAGAGAGAGAGAGAGAGAGAGAAGGAGGGAGAGAGGGAGAGAGAATCCCAAGCAGGCTCCTCTGTGTCAGCACGGAGCCTAATGCGGGGCTTGAACTCATGAACCGTGAGATAATGACCTGAGCGGAAGTCAGACACTTAACCAACTGAGTCACCCAGGCACCCATCTAACGTTTTTTTTTTTTTTTTAAACGGGTTCCCTTTTTGAGCAAACTGGATGAAGTATGTACCATCTGCTCTGATTGAAGTGTTGGCAGGGACGGTGAGGGGCTGGCCCCCTGGCTTACTCCTCCTGCTCTGCCAGCCTGCCCTGCCTCAGTGTACCTCCTCGGAGCTCGAGATCTCAGAGAATCTCACGCAGGCGCCAGCCGTCCAGCGGGAGCATCACCCCAGAGTCTCGGAGGAAGTGCATGGTTGCAGATAACGCTCCAGATGGGATGACACTGAAACCTGGAGCCAGCCCCTTGCCAGCTGTGCAGTCCGGTGAGCCAATCCCCTGCTCTGAACTGTAAAGCCGTAGGTGCTGGGATTTGGCGTTAAGGTGCACAAAGTTCCATGAGTTCTGCAAGTTGGGAATCGCTTCGCAAGTGGCAGGGACTGCTGTGGCTGCGGACTTGGCTAGTCAGGCCCGAATTCCAACCAGGCAGCACCAGTCCTGTGCAGGGGCCTCCGCTGCGTAGCTCACAGTCTGTGACATGCCAGGGCCCTGCAAAGTCAGGTACCCGAGGGGAGTGTGTGGGGAGGGAAGTGCCAAGCTGGGGGAGGAAGAACTGAGAGCACGGGGTGGGGGGTGGGGCTCTGTGAAAGGTAGGAGGCTTGCAGCTGGTAAGGGGACTGGAGCAGGCGGCCATCTGTCCATGTTTGTGACGGTGACAGGAGCAGCCTTCCCCATTCTGGTGAGCTGGGGGCCCTGGCTGCCAAGGAAACCGTTTGAGAACACAAAGCACCAGGAGCAAGGGGGCCCCACCCGGAAAAACAACATCCTGGCTGCTGGGGCAGAAGCAGAGCTCGAAGGAGGGGCTATTTTTAGCTGCTGAGGGAGGCAGGCAGCAGACAGGACTTGTATGGCCTTGCTGTCTGGCTGCATAACTCACCCATTGTCCCGTCTGACCTTGGGCTAGCGCGGGAGAGGCCTCAGTCTGCCCCTGTCCTCCAGGCATGGAGGTTCACCTGGACCAAGGAGAACCCAGGGAGGAGGGGCTGGCCTGGAGACACGCCTCCTGGCTCCAGGAACAAGCTGAACTCAAATATTCTCTGGGAGCTAGCTAACTCGGAATGGATATCCAGGACCAGGCTGAAGGTCCTGGGGTAGCAGTGGGGCACTGGACCTTCCTGGGAGAGAAGCAAATAGTCTGCGGGGGCTTCGGGTCTGGGTCTCCCCAGCGTGGAGCCCTGTTCCGGCCACAGGGCTGGGTGGGTGTGGAGAGGTGAGGCGGATTCCGGAGGAGGACAGAGACCCCTTTATTGTAGAAGTTCTCGCCTCCAGCCACACCCTGGGGCCTTCTCAGCCACAAGCCTCCCCGACTGAGAAGGTGGGTGTGTGTTAAGGAGGCTCTAGGTCTCAAACGTTCTTGCCCACACCCAGGAGCGGTGCCCTGCTCTGGGCAGTGTGCTGTCTGTGTTTAACCCTGGGCACAGACACCACGGGCAGGGCCAGGATCGGGCTGTGGCTTCAAGGGATTCAAGGGATTCAAATAGCTGGCGAGAACCAGGCCACAAAGCCCTCAGGCAGCCAGAATGACTGGGGGGGGGGGGGGGGCCGGGCCAGCCCCCCTCAGAAGAAGCCACCTCTAACTGCCCCTGCCCAGAACTAGGGAGTCGGCTGCCCCTCCTGCTGGGCCAGGGCTCTCCCCACCAACAGGAACACTGGCCCCTTGCCATTCAAGACCAGCTCTGGAAAGATAAAAAGTCCTAGGAATTCTCGGTGGGTGGAGAGAAGGACAGAGAAAGGAGTCATTCATTCAACACATGTTTATTCAGCACCTATTATGTGCCAGGCACTGTCCTAGGAACGTGGAAAAAGAAGGGTTGGGGTAGCCCCTGGATCTGTCCCAGCTCTGGCTTTCTGTCCCAGAAACAAGGCCCATAGGGAGACAGGGTCTGAGGACACTTCCAGGGGCCTGGGGGGAAGGCCAAGTATACGGAAGGTGAGGCCTCCAGGGAGGAGAAGTCTGGGGATGTGGGGGACCCCAAGGTGCGTTCACTGGGGCAAGATGGGGGTGCAGAGAAGCAAGCTTCCCAGGAGCTGGGACACGGCAGGAGCCCCATGCCCCCCTGCATCACCTCCTCTTCAGCACAGATATGCAGGATTTCTTCAAGGGCCCCATCTGCAGATGGGCGTCCACACTCTCCAGGAAGAAGGCAGGCTTTAGCCTGCGAGTGAAGAGCCCTGCAAAATGGCTGTCCAGGCGGCTTTGGAAGGGGTCAATGGAGGAGGACAGGGAGCTGCTCCGGCGGGCCCGGGAGGCCTTCAACCTCCGAAGAAGGTTCATCTTGCCATCCCGCACAGCATAGAAGGCCAGGGCTCGGTCGGCATATTCTAGGCAGATCCCGACGGTGGGCGAGAATGGGTGGGGCAGGGGCGCCTCCAGCCCGTGGAACCAGACGGAGAAGCTGCGTCCGTTCCACTGCAGGCAGCAGGAGTGGGCATTGCGGCCGAGCCGGCCCCGGTCATAGGGCTCTTGTGGGGAGAAGTCTTCGGCCATGACCCCCACGCTGACCCAGCCTTCGATGATCTCTACCTCCCAATAGTAGGTGCCCCGGTCCAGGGCACCCTCACCCAGCACCTGCTCGCAGTGGGTGAAGCGAGTGGGTGACTCGGGGTAGTTGATGGGACACAGCACCCTCTTTACACCTTTGGTTCCAAACAGCTGCAGGTACTTGTCTGCCGTGTCGCTGTCCAGGTCCACGATGTAGGCAACTGCTCCCATGGAGGGGAGAGAGACGCAGGGCTCAGGGCCAGGCTCAGGTGGGACAGCCCCTCCCCTAGGCGCGCACCTCCCCTCCTTAGCAGCCAGTGCGACTCAGCCCTGCTACAGAGCACCGAGAGCGAGCTGACCTAGTTCACCCTAAGAATGAGGGAGGAGAGTCCAAGCCTTCCTGTGCTAGAGCCCAGCCCAGCAGCCTCTCGACGGCCCAGTGTGAGCAGAGGGGAGAGCCCAGGTGTCTACTTACACTTGAGGAAGTAGTCCCTGGGAGCCTCACTCTCCAAGTGGTTGGTGCTATCGGGGTCTTGGGACTCAGCATCGGCTGCCGAAGAGGAGACAGTGGGGGAGGGGTTCTCCCCAGCTGTTTGTGGCTGGGCAGCTGTGCCAGGTGCTCCCCCTCTGAACCTGGGACCGAAATCCCTCTCCCTTTCCTTCCTCCCAGCATCCCAAGCTCCCTGGGGACAGGCACGCCCCCCAAATATGGCAGGCACTCTGTGTTCCCCCAGCAAGCCAGGTCCCCGGGGTCGGGCCCCCTGCTCCACCTCCTCCCTGCCCAGGCCTCAGCCACTAGAGGGCAGGCCAGGAGAAGTCCCCTCAACCCCCCCAGGCTGTGTGTGGCCAAAGGGGCGGACTGGTCATCCCTGCGCGGTGGCCCCACTCACTGGTAGGAGTTGGGTCCCCACCCTGCACCAGGCACAACACTGTTTCCGTCCTCCACTCCTGAATGGGTACCAGGCCTGGGGGCCTGGGTGGGGACGCTGGGGCAGGGTGAATCACTCGGGGGGCGTGGGGCACCCACCTTCTGTGCCCAGCCCCCGCAGCTGCTCCCACTGGCTGGCACAGGTGGCCGTTAGCAGCTCTCTCACCGCCCGCACGGCTTGGGATGATCTGGTGAAGCTGAGCTCCCTCGGGGGGCCGGGCCCAGGGCCGCACCCCTCCTCCAGGGCCAGCCTGAGTGCCAGAAGCTCCTGCGGCAAATCCGGGACTATTAAGGCCCTGTTGGCTACAGCGCCTCTGGCCGGGATGACACAGCCCTGCCGGGAGGACGGCGCAGCCCTGGAAGCCTCTCCCGCGGCTGCATGCGGGCCCCCCCCGCACCCCAGCCTCCCCCCCCCCCGTGCCCTCTCAGGCCCGGAAGAGCTGCGCTCACCTGCAGGAAGCTGACTGAGTCGGCTTCAGGGACCTGACTGAGGTTGTGGCGGGCCCGGCTGAGCCTGCTGCGCTGTTCCTCCTGCCGCCGCAGGTCCCCCTGGGAGCGGCCCAGCATGGTGGCCTCGCCCTCCTCGATGAAGCCCAGCACCTCCGTCTGGAACCCCTGCAGGATGGCTGCAGCCTCGGCGAACAGCCGGCTCACCCTCTCCCGCTCTGCTGCGGCGGCGCTCTGCACAGGGCCACACAGAGGCCAACGATGAGGGCGAGGAGAGCGTTATCCTGGCCCCATCCTTCCCGGACCCCACCTTCCCACCCTGCCCTCTAGTGGGGACAGAGGGACTGGCCGGAGCTGCCCTGGACCTATGCTATATGCTAGCTCAGGGGAGCGGCTCATGCGCAGCGGGGCCAGGCAAGTCCGCGAGCACCAGCTTGTTTGGAGAGGACCACCCCAGGCCGCGAGCTCACACTGCCAGCAGCCTGCTTTAGGACCGCATGGGGACCGGGTTAGGGTGGCGGCTGACCTTGATGAGGGCCACCGTGCGCCGGGACTGTGCAATGCAGGCGCCCAGCTCATCCATGCGGTCCTCCACAGCACTCAGGACTTTGGACTGCTCGGCCTGTGGAAGACATCCTTAATTAGCACGTGGGCTGGCAGAGGCCACAGGCCCACACTGGGGCACCAGGCCTTACCAAGGGGGAGAAGAGGGATGACCCGAGAGTGGTATTTGTGCATGGCGGGGGGGGGGGGGGAGACGCTGAGAGTGGCTAGGATACCCCATAATAATGCCAGAGGTGCCTCAAGCCCAAGCTGGTGCCACTCCCAAATGCCCGCGGAGAGCACAGGCTGGCTGGCTTGTGTCCCCTCTTTGACCAGTGGGCAAGTACAGGGCCATCTGGGCTCCTCAGTGTCGCTCACACTCACTGGAGAACTTCCTTCAGTGAGGAAGGCACAGAGAAAGAGAGCAGGGTAGGTGCTGCAGGAGAGGGCATTCAGCTGTCTTGGGGATCACGATCCCCAAAGAGTCTGTGCCCCCAATCCAGGCCTAAAAAATGGGGATTCCGGGCAAGTCCCCTGGGTCTTATGAGTCACTGCTCCAGGCAGGAGAGACGGAAAATCCCAAGGCCAGAGGCGCCAAGACCGGGCTGGAAGCCAAAGGAAACTGGGGGCGGAGGTAGCGGACCCATCGCGGCGCACATGCTCACACCACGGGCCCCCGGAACAGCTGGACAAGAGCGGTCTGTGTGCTCGGTCCACCCTCCGCCACACTCCTGTCGCCTGCCACACCCATCTAAACCCGGTGCCTCAGCCCAGGGCAAATCTGAGCTCGGACCGGCAAGGACCCGGCCTGGCGCAACAGCCGCACTTCCAGAATCGGCCGGCCGGGACCGCGCGGGCCTGGCTCTGCTCCCTCCTGCCTTAGATCCCCATCGGCCCAGGCCCGGGCTTCAGGCCCCCTGCTTCCCCTTCGTGTTCTTTTCGCGTTCACACTGGGCCCCCACAACCCCCATTCCCATCTCTAGCAGAACGTTCCACAGCGACTGGACGGATGACAGTGTCAGTACTGGAAAAAGACAGCAAAGAGCCTCAGGTTAGAGGAGGACATTAAGACCCTACCGGGAAAAGGGGTGGGGGGGGGGGTGGGATCCAGGGCCCTCGGCGGGCTCGCGCGGCCCTCACCCGCCCCGGCGCGCCCCCGGTGCCCGTGCCCACCTCCTGGAGCGCGCGCTCCTGCTCCAGCGGCACGAGCTCGTGGCCCTGGTGCTCCTGGGCGGCGCAGGCCTCGCACAGGCACATGCGCTCCGCACGGCAGTAGCGCTCGAGCGGCCGCAGGTGGCGCGGACACAGGCTCTCCTCCAGCCGGCGCAGCGGCGGCACTAGGCGGTGTCCGCGCAGCGCGGGGCTGCGCTCGTGCGGGCCCAAGTGCGCCGGGCAGAAGGAGGCGAGGCAGGAGAGGCAGGAGAGCGCGGCAGGCAGGGCGGCGCCCTCAGGGCACGCGTCGCAGCGCACCGGCTCTTCGCCACCGGGCCAGGGCTCGGGCGCGCAGGGAGCCGA